AAAAAAAACAACAAGAATACAGTGAAAGATTCATTCTCTTACATTTTACTGAGGGCATAAGTTGTTATACTTTTAAGGTAACTTGTGGGTATGTATTAAAATTTAAATTTCACAACTGTTTGTCCTCACAGTTTCTTGTCTAGATATTCATCCTACTGAAATACTTTTTCAAGGAACCAAAAAATATATATACCATCTCTAAGGACTGCTAATGTAGCAAATCAAAATTACAAATAATGAAGTAAGTCTTTAAGTACTATCATGGAAATTCAAGATGTACACAAAGACAAGTTGTATGTACATATAGTGTGATTCTCTTTGGTAAAAGAAGAGTAATTATAAATATGTTAGTGTGTGCATAGAAAACTACCTATTTCTAGAAGTTAAGGGTATTGATTTTTTTTTTTCAAATTTAGTGTTATTTTGATTTAATCTTAAGCATTTATAAGTGGTAATTATATATTAATAATAATTGAAATATGTGGAGAAAGGGGAGGATACCAAAATATAAGAGGTAGTCTCTTAAGAAGAAAAGAGCATCTCAAGCAAAATGGAGGCCAATACCATCCTATAAAAATCATTATTGGACAAGCTGTGTACCAATAGTTAATATGCAAATTAGATCATCATATACTCATTGAGAAAAGTGGCACAGTCATCAAGTTCTGCATCTGCAGATTCAATCTATTGCAGATCAAAAAATGTTGTTAGGACCGAAAGTTTGGGCCAGCCTGGACAACTTAGGGAGATCATCTCAAAATAAAATTTGAAAAGGAGTGGGGATGTAGGTAAAGCTTCCCTGGCTTCAATCCCCCATACCAAAAAAAAAAAAAAGTTAGGTCCACAATGGTTATGTCTGTACTGAATGTTTTCTGGTCATTATTCCTTAAACAATACAGTACAATAACTATTCACATGGCATTGATATTCTCTTAGGTATTATAAGTAATCTAGAGATGATTTAAAGTATAGGATAGAATGTACAGAGGTTCTATGCAAATATTATGGCATTTTATATAAGGAACTTGAGCATCTATGGATTTTGGTATTGTTGAAGATCTTAGAACAAATTGCACTGCACTGTCATGTATATTTAAAGAGAAAAAATACAAAAATACTGCACTGCTTTTTCATAATTTAAACTTTCCATTAATCCTCAGGAGGTCCCTCTCTTACTCCCCTGTTTTACCTGAAATTAACTCGAGAGTATAAATTCAAACATGTCTATGCAAATGCTTTGTAATGCTATGGAAGAAAAGTATATAGTAGATCGTGCATATCTTTCAAGTAGACTAGTGTGCAGCAGTAATAAGCATACAAGCTGTTTCAAGGAAAAGCAGTTTTACTGCTCTGTGACAGTAAACGCACATATGCTTATTTTAATAGTCCAACAAGAAGCTTTATATTTTAAAATAATACTAAGCATCAAAACACTGTTTTAAAAAATACTATTTTTAAACCCAGTAGATTTTCTGAATGCAGTATTCTTCACACATTTACTATCACTGACTGAAGCTGCAATTTAGTTTTGCTCCCAACACAATCTCTCCCTTTATATACTATACCTCTATATTCATCCTTCATTGAGTTTAGGCCATTTACATAACATAGGCCATTCCCTGTATAAGTTGCCAATCCAAGTCTTTTATTCCTAATGTTAAAAAATGCCTCATTTAAAAAAAGCAACGGAGGGGATAAATGCATGGAAATGGAACTTCCCCACAGTTTGGTAAGTAGGCAGATACAAAAGACATCTGTGTAGTAGTGATCCAGGAATCAGATTACTCTACTTGTCCTTGTTTTTTTCAACGATGGCAGAAGGAAACGGTGTAACCATGGAAATGTTCCTTCCAAAAACACAAACCTTAAACAAAACCCTACAGCCTACACACAGGAAAGCAGGAGCTCCAGCCTTCCAACAGATTCTAACAGAGAACTGGGCATTACCAGGACAGTAGCCAAGGAGAACTATCCTTTCCAGAATTGAAAGAAAAGTGCTAAAAAGACACAGCCTTTTGTCTTACCCCAGGCAAGATTCTTTTATTTTGTAAACTAAAACACTTGTCAGCAACTGCAGAATTAACTATATGTCTAAAATTTTCTTGAGGACATTCTGAGGCTAGAATCAGTCATTTTCTGTAGATAATTGTGGTGTGGCATTTAAATCCTAAATTAAAGCTGGATGCTCCTTATCTACTGGTTGAAATAGGGGTGGTCCTGTGGCAGGCACGGATCATTCTTGCACTAAACTTAATTGGAAACAACTAAAATTTGAACATAGTCATATGAAAACATCAAACAGCCAAACTGGCTGAAGTATAGACTAACAACATGGAAATTAAACAAATATTTGTCATATGCTAAGCACTGTCAAGTACTAGGCAAACAGCTGCCAAAAAAAAAAAAAAGAAAAAAATAGACAGGATCATAGATTTTAGAGAATTTATATCTAATTGGTGACCAATTATTCAAGTGAAAGGGACAATTGTATACTGCATAGTTTTAAGCAGTGAGAAGGAAGTAAAAAGGCATGAGACGAGGTCGACTTGGGAGCTAGAGGTGGGAGGCTACTTGAGACTGAAAGGTCCCAGAAAATGTTTCCTATGAGCTAAAGCTTGAATGTCAGGAAAAGTGAACCATCACCGACGTGGAGGAAGAGAGTTCTAGGCAGAGGAACAACCTATGCAATGGTTTTGAGACAAAAAGACGCTCAGAGAACTTCGATAAAAGAAAAGGTGGCATGGCTGGAACTTCAAGAGTACAAGAGAAACTCAGGGAGGGACAACCATACCTGGCCTCAGAGGTCACGTAAGGAGTTTGATTTTAGTTTACACAGAATAAGGAAACACTGATGGCTTTTTGCTCTGATTCATGTTTTGAAACTTCACTCTGCTCTTTCAGGGAAATGAACAGAAACAAAGAAACCAGATGGGACATTTTGGTGGCCTAGAATAGAGCAGCAGAAGTGAAGATCATACAAGAGAAAGTTTTATAACACAGTCAACAGGCACTTGCCTTCTTTTAATCTAAATTAGTTGAGGAAAAGAACCAATTGCAGGAGTAGGAACAGGCTGACCTCGCTCAGCTCTTAGAGTTAATGTAAACTGGTGGCAACAGATCTCCCCAACC